GGGGCCCGGGGGGGGCCCCCCGGGCACGGGGGGGGAACCCGGGGGGGGCGGGGGGCCCTCCATGGGGGACTCTGATGGGGGGTTAGGGGCCCCTGATAGGCTGTGACGCCACCAGCTACGTGCTTGACGTTGAGCCATAGGAACCCAGTAAAAATTGCTGCTGCTGCTGCTGCTGCTGCTGCTGCTGCTGCTGCTGCTGCTGCTGCTGCTGCTGCTGCTGCTGCTGCTGCTGAATCCCTCTTCGAACTGTAGCCCTAATGGTTTTCCGTTTCCGGTGTTTGTCCAGTATTCTCTGTGCTGTTGTTCTTGCTGCTGCTGCTGCAGGTATTTGTTATAGCTGCTGCTGCTACCATTGCTGCTGCTGCTGCTGCTGCTGCTGCTGCTGCTGCTGCTGGTAGCATATTCAGGTATCTGTGCTGCACAGGGTCTGCTGCGCAGCCGCTCGTTCTCCTGCTGCAGCTCATGCAGCTCCGGGGTAAGCCCCGGCAGCAGCGGCCTGTGGCCGTATTCTAAGAGAATGGGGGCCTCAGCAGCAACACAGCCATCGAACAGCCGCCGCGAATCCGCGGTGTCTGTGAGCGGCTCCCACAGCAGCTGAGGAAGATTCAGGGGGGCCCCCATAGCTCCTCTCCCGTTGCTGCTGCTGCCGTTGCTGCTGCTGCCGTTGCTGCTGCTGCTGCTGGTGGTGGTGCTGGTGGTGCTGGTGCTGCCACGGAATTCCTTAGATACTGAGTCGGATGGTGCTGCTGCTGCTGCTGCTGCTGCTGCAGCGGGCTCATCCTTCGCTGCCTCACCAGCCCCAGAGACAGCTGAGCTCCCGCTAGGGTCTGCTGCTGCTGCAGCAGCAGCCCCATTATGCTTCGCACGAAATTCAGGTGTTCCTGGGGGCCCCTCCTTTGATTCTAAAGCCTCTACACAGCTGACGTGCAGCAGCAGCAGCAGCAGCAGCAGCAGCAACAGCATGCTGCTGCTGCTGCTGCTACGAAACGCATGCAGGGGAGAAAGCCCCAGCTGCAGAGGCTGGGTCTTCATGATGCCAAGAGAGAGAAGAGAATCAGAGATGAGTGAGAGAAAGCTAACGCTGGGCAACTGCTGCTGCTCCTAGTTCTGCTGCTGCTGCTGCGGCTGTTGCTGCTGCTGCTGCTGATGCAGTTGCTGCTGCTGCTGCTGCTATATCTCCTGCATGCAAGCGATTGACGCAACTACTCCTTCTGTTGCTGCTGCTGCAATTCTTGCTGCTGCTAGACGTGGTAGTGTTGCTGTTGCTGCTGCTGCTGCTGCTGCTGCTGCTGCTGCTGCTGGAGCTGCCGTTTAGGCTGGTGCTGGGGTTTGGGGGCTGGACACGAGACAGTTGCAGCAGAGGGAGGAGATGGGAGGGGGTGAGCGGTTTTTGTCGTCATGAGGCCTGCGGTGTATCTGCAGCTCAGCAACTGCAGCCTATGCGGCAGCAGCAGTGCGCCCCGAGCAGGTGAATGCATAGGCTCTTATGTTTTGCTGCTTCTTATAGACGAACAGAATACAACAAAAAACCGAAGGATATATTGATGCTGCTGATATGCAGCAAGATATAACAAAGGCGTCTCGTTGCGGCTCTCGGCTATGGAGCTACAGAAAAGGAAAAGAACATGGGGGGCTCCCTGTCGCTGCGGAGGAGTTGTGGTGTATATACAAAGAGGAAAAATACAAAAAACTTAAAAAGAAGTTAAAAAGAACTACAATCTATGGTTATATTGTAGCCGGGCCTCACGGGGCCGCTCCTCGCTCTCTAGCCGCGCCTGGTGCTGGCGCAGCTGTTGCTGCAGTTCTATGGTTTTTCTGGGTTTATAATATGTTGTTGCAGAGCTAAAACGAAGGAGAATAACAAAAAGGATATAATTATACACCTGAAATATCCCATTCATATACAGCTGCACACGGCGCAGCAGCGCCTGCTGCTCCCGCTCAGGTGTCACTGGAGCGATTGCATTGCTCGGCGGGAGCGGCAGAGGTTGACGACATAAACAAAGAAAATAAAACCCCACGAATTTACCTGTTTTTAAAATATATAAAAAGGGTTATTCATGCCGATTATGAGGCCTCAATTATGTATAGATGTGCTGCATCTTTATGTATTCAACTCTGCACTAGGAGCCCCCGAAGGTAACCTATAGATTTCAGCTTATACTATAGCATATAAACTGCAAACGATCACGTATTAACCCCATATAAAATGTATGCAAGCTATACATTGAATATATTTTGCTGGATGAGAGAGCGGCAGCGCCGCATACAGAACGAGAAAACTGTATTCACAGCTCTCGATATTCTCTGCTGGCAATCGCCAGTTGCAATAGAAGCAAAACTATAAAAGTAAGAGTAAACTGAGCGCAGCTGAGCTCTTCCTCAGCCACAAGAAGGCCTGGGAGAAGCACCCAGAGGGCCAGAGGCAGGTAGAGAGAAAGCAGCCCGAGATAGGTGCCAATACTGTAACATGAGTTAGCGCAGAGTTAGCTGAGGAGCCTATTGACAGCTTTGGCATGCTGCGCGTAAGCGT